GAGGTAGCATGAGGGCTGGACCTGGGTCGTTAGAGTGTTTGGTAGCCAGTACATTTAGCTATATGCCACTAACACCACCACATATGCATATCACACTGTGGCTCATGCCTTTGCAGGGTACTCAGTGAAAAGCTGTGACATAAACATGTAAAAATACATTATTCGATATCATTGGTATGTGTCAAAAAACATGTAGCTTATTCAAAGTGATAGATAGGTTTTAAACAACTCTTTCCACAAATATATTGGAAGTGGCTGTGTCTTAAAGTTTTCTAATAGGTGTATAATTGAGATAAAAGGCATTTGTCAATAATTTGAGTTTAGATTTCATTTTCAAACTATTGACATTTATTCCACTATGTTGATCTGTTTTTACCATTGATAATTTTTTACAAGAAAAGAAAGTAATATTTCTTTCTAAAACCATAAAAGTAAATCACATAGGATGATGCATATATTTTGGTGGCATGCAGATTTATATTTATGTAAAGAATAATCTATCATTTGCAAATGTTTTGATATTTTGTTGAAAAGAAACAGAAGTGAAGAATGAAGAGTATAAAAAACAAAACAATTCTAAACACAAAACAAGTAAATCTAGAAGGCAATAAAAGGGATTGAGTCACATTAAGCAAAAACAAAGAATCCTAAATAAAGTTTTAACATAGTAATATGATGAAAATGAATCATAAAGAAACCATTTTCTCAAGTTTATGCTAGAATTATTTTATAATTTATGTGATTTTCCTACTCTAAGCAGTTCATTTTTGAAGGGCTCCTGTAAAATACATCAGGAAGGAGGACATAAGAGAGTGATAAAAACTACATTAACCAGAGCAAGGCTTCATCTCTTAAAAAAAGAAAAAACAAAGTCCTTAGACTTCTTATGAATAATCTTTTTTATGAATAACCTTCATTTTAAAGTCATAACTTTTCTGTTATCCTGATTACCTCCAATGACCAATATTCACAAGATCAAAAGAAACAAAAAGATAAACATTTATATGTATAGTCATCTCTGTTTTAGATTATTTTACATACTTTATTAAAATATAGGTACATGGATGGGTAGGTGAATTTTTCTTTAAACATTTAGTGTTCCCTCTCTCTTCCTTTTTAAGAAATTTTACATCATTGAGTGACAATATTTATTTCTCATTAGGCAAAATGCATGTTCTTATTTTGTCAATGTGGGCACATTCTTCCTTAAGAAGCCTCCAATTTAAAAAACAGAACAGAGAGTGAATTGAGTGAATATTTACTTTATAAAGGTTGATCAGAATGTAAGAAAAAAGTGTCAAATGATCACCTCAATGTGTTAAGTCCTTCTAGTAATTTGTTTTTATTACAAAATTTAGTAACATATTGAGGTAACAGAAACTCAATGACTATATTCAGCAAAGAATCCTAGCATAATTATACTTGCTCTTGGTTATTCATTTTAAAACATATAAAAGGTATTTGCAATCACCTTGTTTGGTTTTGGCAATATAATTGCCAACCTGGGAAACATGATGAAATTTCATCTCTGCAAAATTTTTGATTTAATTTTTAACTTTATATAATTATAGGCTAAGACCAAAAAGTATGAAACCTAATTAATACTGTTTCCTTTTTAGCATTTTTAAATACTTGCCTCATCATCAATTCTGAGAAACTTTAATAAATGTTTTATAAATTGTATAGGATAGTAATACCCCTTATTAGAATGGATGAGAAAAGCCGTTATATATTTCAAATAATGCTGATGTTTTTAAATGAATATTAATCATAAAGAGAATAATCAAAAACACAACTGAAATTTGCTTTTCAACAACAATAAGATGAAAATGCATCTAATGTAAGAAAAATAGCTCACTGCAGGCTCCACCTTCCAGGCTTAAGGTTATCTGCCTACCTCAGCCTCTCCAGTAGCTGTGACTACAGGTTCATGCCACCACACGTGACTAATGGTATTTTTTTGTAGAGATGAGGTTTCATCATGTTTCCTAGGCTGGTCTCAAATTCCTGGGCTCAAGAAATCCACCCACCTCAGCCTTCCATAGTGCTGGTATTACAGGCATAAGCCACTATGTCCAGCAATAAATCTCTCATTCTACCATTGTAACTTGTCGTTCCATTTTGGAAAATTATTTATTTTATTAATTTAAAAAATATGTGAAGATTCTCTATAACATTTTATTCACTGTGGTCACTAATTGCCAGAACAATTACTAAAATACTTGAAAATATATTTGAGCATGAGATGACTTGGCAGATATTTTATTCAGTATCTTCTATAATTACAGCACCAATTTCAGAGGTGCTTAAAATGATTATGTCTTAAAAATTCACAAGTTTGGATGTTTCATTATCTGACAAATGTTAATTCCATATTAAGCTACTTCTGTACTGTGAATTTGTCAGTACCATTTAAAGCAATCTTACAGAAAATATTTAATCTACTTAAAAATTACAGATGTTGTACTATAATATTTTCATATGCCCAAAAGATTTAGAAAAGAAATCCACAAATATATAATTAAACAACTGTGAATAATTAAATATTAATCAGTATATATTAACAATGCTAGTTTCCTTAAACAAAACAAGAGTCACAATAGTTATTACAAACTTCTACTAGTTCAACTAACAGGATTATTTTTCCCATTGAATCAAACAATTTTACTGAGGAATAATCCTTTTTGTATTAATGCTAAATAATTATACTTTTCACTTATTTATCACTGCACAAGGTTTACAGAGTGCTTTACATGCATAATAAATATTCTTCAGCCAGTTATATCTTGGTATAGATGACAAGGACAAGTTAAACATTTAAAACACATAAGCTATATCAAACTCATCTACAAAATGTTGCAGTTCCAAAAAGATATTTTAAATATCAGATGTCTCTGACGCATCTTACAATGATTCTAAATAAACTATAAAATTTGATTTCACATAAATTTCCCAGAACTTAGCATTTGTATTTTTCTCAAATAGGCATAATCACCTATGTTTCACTGGAATCGGTTTCAAAAACAGGAAATTGAATATGGCATTATTTTAGGGAAAAGCCCAGTGGACGTGTAATATTCCAAGCTATCACAGGATAATCTCATGACCTAGAGACGAACATTATTACATTGCTTGCCACCTGTGCTGAGATATGTGGAATTACATGGAGAAAGTCCAAACCTTCAAATATCTCTTATTATTAAAGTTGCTCAGACCACAGGCTGAAATCTAAAGAATTAATGAGGACTAGTTATTACTTGCTCATCATTAGGTAGTCTCCAAGACTCAATTCTTGGTCTTCAGCTTCTTGGGAGACTAAAACCTTCAGACAGGGCAGCTGAGATCTAGGGAGTACTGGCTTGGTATGGACACCTGCATCTCCTGAGAGAAACCCTGGATCTCACTTGCCTCTTCCCTGTTACTGACCAAAGCAGAGGAACCATTTACAGGTATAGTTACGGAGCACAACCACAAAAGAGCCCATACCTACATGGGCAAGCCTACAATGATCACACCCTGACTGCTGAGCTTACTTCTACTTGCTCTTCAGGACTAACCAGAGGAATCAGCTTCTCTAGGAAACATTCCTTGATCACTGTCCCTCACCTCTTCTACTTTAGGTGTTACCCCTATATACAACTTTGTGCTTCAACCAATTAGTGCAGGTAGCAAACACTATTAGAATGACGAATTTACATTTGTAACTGGAACATCACAATGTAAAATTCCTTCAAACACAGATCATGATGATTTTATTTTTATGTTCCCAGGCCCAAGCCAAGTACCTAGCATATAGTAAGTGCTCGGTAAATGTTTGTTGAATGAAGCTACCACTGCTACGTACGGCATGTCTGCCACGTTAATGATCTGGAGGTGAGGATAAGACCCAACTGGAAGAGACCAACAGCATGTAGTGAAAATGCCATGTCATAGTCTCCTTAATGCTAGTATGAATGCAGTTTTTACAGCATCAGAAAACATCTTTCAAGCCTGTCACCATTGACACCTTTGTAGGCCTATGCATGAAGACAATATATCATTTTTTATAATGATAGTATTTTACTGCCATAAACACTTAAAACCAAGGAATCTCATTTAAAAAAAAAACTTTAGAAAATATCTGTATTTTCTGAGATTCCATTCTATATGTAAAACATGTTTAAGGCTTTCAAATAATTATATTATTTGTTCTCTTTCTAAATAAAATACAACATCATATTGTTACAAAGTATTTGAAAATTATACTCTTGATTTTTCACAGAATAATTGAAACCATTGATTTAAAAACTCATTGTTTTATATGTGAATGACTCTGAAATAACATTTCATCTTCTTCCTTCAGGAAAATGATGTTCCAAGGAGAAGTTCAGTTTAAAAATTTATATAAAGAGATTTCTGATGAAGCAAAAACATACACAGACTACATTAAAAAATATTTTTAAAATCCTATATATATAAGATTAATAAGGTTTTCATGAAAGTAACAGACCTGAAGAAAGTCTGAAATCTCTGCAAATTTTCCTGTAATTTTTGGAAAACATAAAACATAAATTTACTATCTGCCTCTTTAAACTTTATTCTATTTTTCTAGAGCATCCTCAAAATAACAGGGGAACATTTTGGGTGGGGTTGAAATATGTACTTTGGTTATATTTTATAGACAATAGATATAAACAAGGCAATTATTATCAGAGAATAAAGCAGACAGACTTGAATTTTGATCACAGTTGCACACAGAATAGAGCTTGATTACTTAATCAGAAGGTAAACTGCAGCCTACACAAAGCACAAAATACAGTCTAATAAATATTCACATGCTTAGGTTATTTCAATTTAGTTCTTACATGCAACTTTATGGGAGTCTAATGTAAATAAAAGATGTACTAAAAGGTTTCTTTGCCCTAGACAAGGCTACTCAAAACTTCTAAAATCTCTTAATCACTACACACTTTTTACAATGCCAGAAAAGAAAATGAGAAATTATTAATTTTTAAAATTACCCAGCAATTCCATTGCATCATCTTCATTATCAATATCTTCTTCTGTTACGGATGGGGTAGGGCTGTGGATGGACTCAAAAGAATCTTGAGAGAGCATCGCAGCCAGGAGTTTCTTATGTTGCTGTTGCTGCTGTTTTAATCCTTTAGTTTTAGGCTCCATCTTTAAGCTGAAGAAATATTTAAATGTTAATTTGCTGTGTTAAGAAAATCTACATATAAATTTCCATTCAGTTATTATGCAAATACATAGACACGTTACCAAAGTTTTCCCCAAGGATAATGGAAATATTGTCTTTCTTGGACAGCCATTTGTACCTTGCAAAGGAATTCCCAAGTGAGTATGGGGAAACTGAAATCTGGCTCATTTAAGGGGGAAGGTGTTAATTTACTCCTACCTATTGTTACCATGTGGAAATTAAAGTCTACTTGATGATTTTCTGATTTTTAAAGAGAAGCTAGAAAGTCCAGGTTGTTAGTCCCTGATTTACCAAAGCAAGTGCATGTTAAGAAAAACACACTCAATGGGATATTTTAAAATACTATGTTAAGATGTTTTAAAATACTCAGCTTTAATTTTTTTTGCATATATGTATATAGTTGTCTCAACATCATTTGTTAAAAAGACTATTCTCTCTTTCAATTATCTTGCTTTTATTTATAGTGCTTTTGAGTCTATCTCTTTGTATAGTTTTACTAGTGACGGGTCTTTGGGTGTGTGTGTGTGTGTGTGTGTGTGTGTGTGTGTGTGTGTGTGTGTGTGTGTGTGTATGTGTGTGTATTCAGTAGACTATTGTATTAGTATCAACATTTACCACCTGGAGTGAAATATGGATACCTTACTTCCATTTTGGACCCTTTAGTTTCCCTACTTTTTAATATTATTGAGTATCAGATAATGTTATAATTTTTATTTCAATAAATATCATTTCTAAAACTCGTGAAGATAGTCCGTTGTATATATCCATATTTCTGCTCTTTCTGTTTTTCTTTCTTCCTTCCTGATGTTTTGAGGTAGATTCTTTCTTGCCACTGAGTTAGATTCACTGTTGCCACTCAGCTCTCCTTCAACTTTAGTGGGGAAAGGGAGTCACAAGTGTGGCAGGGAAGGAAAGCATGTCCCCTAACCATTTATTATCAGTGAGAAGAGTCAATTCTGGGCTGTGTCTCTGGCTACTCCCAGTTTTGTTGGTGTGGCTCCTGTTCAATCAGGGGAAGAAAACCTACATGGGCCACTTTTTCTTGCTAGTCTGGGAGCAGGGAAATGCCAGTTATTCTGTTCAGGGGAGAATTACAAGGTGCCCCTGCTGCTATGCTGTTCTTCTAGCCCTCAGGTTCCTAACCATTCCACCTTCCTCTTTACCCTTGTCACGGTTCTCTTTTGGTGCCTCTTGCTTTATTTCAGGGTTTATAAGGGTATGTAGTGAGGGACAGCAAAATGTAATTACTCTGTGTCATCTTGTCCAAACAGAATTGACACATGACTTGTTAATTAGAAAAGGCAATGGATATCTTTACACTGGAAAAATCTGGTGGACATCACCTTAACCAAGTGATCAAACTTAGCCTTACCAATAACACTGGACAAATTGACATTATGTACTTCCTAATACGATACAATAGGGAAGTACATCCCATCAACTATGTAGAATTTTTTCCAAAAATATTTAATATGAATTTAATCAGAGAACAATCTGACAAATGCAGATTTGGGGAAATTTTTCCAGGTAAGTGGGCCGTAGTCTTCAGGGATGTAAATGTCACAGAAAAGAAACAAAAGGCAGAGGACTGTTGTAGATTACAGAAGACTCAAAAGACTTGACAACTAGATTCTACACATGATCCTTTATTACATGCTAGATGATAGATACATAGATAAAGGTCATAGATAAAATAAAGATGGTAATATATTCATTGGTGAATACAGGTGGAGGGAATGTGGATCTTGATATTATTACTTTTAAATTTTCTGTGGTTTGAAACTTTTAAAAGTAAAAAGTTGAGGGAAAAAATAAGAATAAATATATTAAAGCATACACATCTTAACAATGTTTATCTTAACTTTATCTTCTACCCCAACTTAGTTTCCCAACATAAATAGGACTGTTGCTAAGATGTTGAAAAAATGCATCCCTTTTTAGGTAATTTTTAAATTTGAGTAACCCTTGATATAATTCCAAATGATCAAAGAAAATTATTTTTACTCTTTAATAGTGGATATATAATATAAATATTCACTTGAAAATGGATGGGAGAATTTTATTTAGCTCCAGTCTCTTGCCGTGGCATCTGTCCTCTGCATCATTGCATTGCATTACATGTCTTTTAAACTAAGAAACAATATAACAATGTTAAAATCTTCCTTGACCAACTTTATTCATTGAGAAATAAACAAAACCAATCAAAACAAAATTTTAATTTGGATTTCTTGGCTGATAAATTTAACATGTTAAGCTGGAATTAACACCTAAATTATTTTATCTAATTTATTAAATTATTTTAAAATAACAATATTCATGTAATATTTTAGCCCCATTAGCTTTTGATTACTAGAAGGGATATAGACACTGATTTGAATGACAATCAAATATAGTTCATCTATAAGATAAATAATTTGGGGCGAGTCATTCCTCCTGTCTTTTCCTCAGTATCTTTATCCATAATGCAGATTATAGTAGTACTTCTAATATATGGTGGTTGGACTATTAAAAAGGGTTAACTGACAGAAGAGCAGAAGATCAAACACCGCATGTTCTCACTCATAGGCGGGTGTTGAACAATGAGAACACATGGACACAGGGAGGGGAGCACTACACAGTGGGGTCAGTTGGGGGGAAATAGGGGAGGGACGGTGCGGGGTGGGAAGCTGGGGAGAGATACCAAGGGGAGAAATGCCAGATGTAGGTGATGGGGAGGAAGGCAGCAAATCACACTGCCACGTGTGTTCCTATGCAACAATTTTGCATGTTCTTCACATGTACCCCAAAACCTAAAATGCAATAAAATAAATAAATGGGAAAAAAAAATTCTTCATAAATTTGTGGTGTATGTTGCAAAAAATCTTGTTTCTTTAATATAACATAGACATTTCTTAATACTTTGCATTTTTTGTGGCCACCTTGTTTATATTGAAGTTGCACAAAACTGTTTACGGTTTCCCAAATGTACCTTGTTCTTTTGTGGCTCTGGTTCAAGGATAGTGCTTTGAACATATTTTCATTGTTATAGATACTATTTTGATATTGTTTGGCTCTGTGTCCCCACCCAAATCTCATCTTGAATTGTGCTCCTTTAATTCCCATTTATTGTGGGAGATAATTGAATCATGAGGTTAATTTCTCCCATACTATTCTTATGGTAGTGAATAAGTCTCACGAAATCTGATGATTTTATCCGGGGAAACCCCTTTCACTTGGCTCTCATTCTCTTTCTTGCCACCACCGTGTAAGACGTCCCTTTCACCTTCTGCCATGATTATGAGGTTTCCCTAGCCATGTGGAACGTTAAGTCCATTAAACCTCTTTCTTTTGTAAATTGCCTAGTCTTGGGTGTGTCTTTATCAGAAGCATGAAAATGGATTATTACATATTTTAAAATAATAAATTTAACTCACCTCCTTAAAAAAAAGGGTTAATAAATGTAGAATAGCTCCTGGCAAATAGCTCTATTTATGACTGTTTAATAAATCAATTAAATTTCCCATCATAACATTAAATTTTATATTGTGAATTTAACAAAAGGTAATAGAATATTATGCCTTAGAATATTCTATGCTTACCAAATATATTTTATGTTTTCATGTAAAAGAAAGTTACAGCTTTAAGGCAATTTTTCCCCTTAGGAGTTAAATAATAAATCATAAAGTACAACTGTTTGAAGTAGATGTTATATGTACATTGTAACAACTGCTTCTGCCTATTATGTGCCTAAATATATATATAGGATGGTTCAATAGTAAATATTTTGTGCAAAAGTAATAAATGCTACATCTTGAAATGTTATTTTATATTAATAATCATAATCAAATGTTTATTTATAAAACATAATTATTTCTAAAAGGCCAACATATCTTCAAAACATGCCTGTTTATAGAAAAAGAGTATATCTATCGAAATATAAACTTAGAATTTTATTCCAGGACTATAAGTGTTTTTCTAGAATCCTTGGGGCTGGATGTGTCCTGCTGAATAAACTCTGTATTATTTAATATTTTCAGGAGGGTCTGTGGCCTCACCCTGTTAATCAAATACATCAGTATTTCTACATCATTATGTATCAGCATTCCCACTGAGTGGGATAAAGAAAGAATCTGCAGGGTTCAGATCAGGTTTTGCTATAATGAATTATGAAAATAACTTTGGTTCTCAGAGCATTTTGAATTTCACAATTACAGATAAGGATTGCAAGGAAAATATTTGAATAAATAACTGAGAGATGAAATCTCAAACACTGCAGTTAGGTAAAGTAGATGGGGGCTGAGATTTGAGGTTGGAATTACAGAAGGCAGAGGTCATTTGAATGACACTGGGCAACTTGGACAAGAGGTCATCCTGTGACACTGACAAGGTTGCTTTCAGTAGGTGGTGGAAATAACATTCTGTTTGGAAAAGACTGCAAAATGAGGGGTCAGTGCACACAAGAAAAATACTGTGAGAAGTTTCTTTGTAAAGTGAATGAAAGAGAACAATTAATTAATAGCTGGGGCCAGGGAGACTTCATTTTTTAGAGAGAAGTCCCATCATACTTTCATGCTGATGGGAATGATCTAGGAGAAAGGAATGGTGCTGGGAATGAAGATAAGTGATGAGCTTACATGGGTGAGTGAGAGTAAGGATCTAGCACTGAGTGGAGGAACTTCCGCTAGGCGGGAGCGTGAGTGGCTCACTCATAACCAATGGGGAAGAGCAGAAAACCTAGGCACAAATAGCAAGGTGCACAGAAATCTACTGGAGGAAGCTTATGGAGGTGTTCTTCATGAGCGCAGCTATTTTCTCTTTGAAACAGGAAACAGAGTCATTAGTTAAGAATAAGAATGGGGGAAAAAGGTTGGAGATTGGAGAAGAGCAGGAAAAACATGATGTCATCTTTGAGGAGAATGGGCATGTGAACGGCGGAGGCAGGTGCAGCAGCATCACCAGGTAGTACCAGTGTGTCCCTGAAGTTCAGCGGTTGTGAATTCAATGACACTGGCCAGTGTGGCCATGTGTCCTTCTCTAGCCCAGGTTGATTTAGCCACAGAATAGGCAAAGAATTATATTTAGGCACGTAGAGTTTTGCCAGGAGAGTAAAACAGGAAAAGTGTAGCAGAAGAGTTGACGGCATACCCAAGGGACCAATTACCATGATGGGGCATAGATAAACCTGAATAAGGAAAAAAAAATGAAGAAGTAGGTGGGTGAGAAGAAATAAAACTTTGGCAGTCTCAGTGTTTTGGGGGTCTCAGTTAAAGCTGAGTGTCAGACGCAATGAACTAGAAAGAAAGATGAGAGGCGGAAGTCAGGGAGTGAGATGCCTGAAATTGACATCATGAATTTGCAGATAATGAGAATGAGAAGGTCTAGGATATGACAGAGGGAGTGATGGGGGAGGCAGGGTGGAATTCAAGATACATGGCAAAGAGTAGCCAAAGAAAGTGAGAGGCCAGGTTTGGGGAGGGATCATCAAAGGTGTTGAAGCTGATTTCACCAATACAGCAGGGCTACTGGGGAGAGTGACAGGAGCCAGATATTTGTATATTCAGAGAAAGGGGAATGGCTGGCAGTAAGCAAATTATTGCTAGAAGAAGATGTGGAAAATTAACACACTGGGAAATTCAGAACAAGATGCACAACTAGAGATTGTTTTAGGGAGGAGAGGGCAAGATCTGGAAGCAGCAGAGGATAAAGAATGACTCCAGCCCCACAGCTTGTGAATCCTACAACCAGCAAGAAAAAATAACAGCCTGAGGCAGGGAGGCAGGGGTGTTCATGCAGACAGTGTTGAGTGAGATCAGAACAAGGGGGTTTTATCTAAGAGCACTGAGGGTTCTGAGGCCCCTTTTTCCCAGATCTAAACCTACAGCTTAAGGATAACAGCAATCTTAAAACAGCTTTCTGAAGAGAGACTGTAGAGCAAAGCATTTAAATGCACAGAATTTGAAGCAAGGCACCCCAGCTTAGTGACCTAATGGCTATCCAATGTTGGGATGGGGATGTAGCCACTTTGGGACTTAGTTTTCTCATTTTTGAAAAATAATGTTTTCATAAGGATGAAGTGGATTAAGATATGCAAAGCACATAGAGCAGCTTCTAAGTGGTAATTCATATCATTATGTGTTCAAAGAATACAAGGGGTACATCCTGGATATGTGAATGTCTCCTCCTCTTGAGCCATAACACCCCACTGACTAATGTCGGTCAGTCATTAAAGTATAGTACACATTCATTCCTATTTAAGGGTAAAAGATAGTACTATAGTTACAGACTCTGAAGCCATTAAAAAGATTTTCTCCAACTCTTTCTGCTTCATCCAAGTCAAATCTAATGCTGGTGTAAATTCAGAAATCTTGCTTTGTATTAGAAGATGGAGAAAATATAGTTTCTAGTCCATAGTTTATTGCTGTTCTTGAAATTTAATTCAAATATGCATGTATTCTTTCTACTCTAATGGGGCACTTGGGCAGAATTTCACCAGCTCTTTCCTGTCATAATATAATACCTCAATTTGTAATTTAAAGATAGAGGGGGGGAAAGCTGAATAAAATTAAAACAAATATTTGAGAGACACGTTCACGGACTGAGTTTTCCAGGTAAGGGATTCCACTAGGATTAGAGAAAAGGTTCCCCCTTATTGAGTAGTCAAGTGGGAATAAGAGCTCACTGAAGCTAGGAGGAAAATAGAAGCACTACCATTTGCAATAAATAGTTCTGATTATGACTAAATGAAAGTAAAATCAAAGTTGACACTTCTCTATTTTACACTTAAGAACTGAAGATCTACCGGTGAATAAAGATAAAGGTCCAGTAGGTTTTATAAGCCTGGTATTAAAAAAAAAATTACCCTCGTTGACAGATAAAATTGATCTGGCATTTCACCAAGAAGGTAAATAGATCTTTATAAATGGTTTTCTTCTCCTCATACAGGACACTTCAACTATTTAAATAAGTTAAAAGTTATTTCTCATGGAAATAGAATCAATTTTCTGTAGGTCTGAAGCACCTTAATGAGTATTCTGAATTTTCTTCCTTGCAGCCAAGTGATAAGTCACTGCAAAGAACCCCTGAAAGCTATTACACTGTAGAAAATACAATTTTCTCCTTGAGAAAGAATAGTTATTGGTTGCTGCTAAATTTAACATAGAAAATACCAAGTTACTGTGGCTATGCTATGCATAGGAAAGACTCTTCTGCGATGGTCAGCTGGTAACACTCACAGAAAGTTTAAGCTGCTGTCACATTTCCATTCACGAGTATTTGTTTTCGCACTTGGCTAAGCCATGCCTCCCATGATATTTTTCACCCCAGAGCCCAGACACTTTGCAGTTTTCATTTTTGTTTTGAGTTTCACTTATTGCAGCTGATATTACAAAAAAGTATTACTCTGACTACAGTTTTTCTAATAAATAAGATCTGGACATTTCAACATTCATTCACTACTAGCAGCACATGGGAACTTAGGGTAAACCTCTAGCCACCATTTTGAGCATCAGGGATCTGAGTAAAATAAAATTTTGGAATTTCAGATTTACAAATGATAGTAGTTTCAAAATTTATAAAAAGAAAATGTTAATAAATACATTCAATCAGAGTTATCAACTCTACATTTAAATGATTCTAACTGAGTTTCTCTCTCTTTATGTTCACCATTAACTTTGCTTCCTATGGTCTATTATACATTTAACACTTTTACTATCCCTGATGATTAATGATATCTTTCTGGTACATCAGAAGTCCCTCCTTTCCAATTCTTAATAGCCAGCCACTCTCTGTTCAATATTATAGTAGGTCTTGACTGGCAGTGTACCCTTGAAATTATTTATTTGGTTTTAGCAACAAAGATATGGTGATCTAGATTTGAAGAAAAAAAAATCAACACCAAAACCCCAAAGCAGGTCTGAAACTCTCATTCTAAAAGACAGCAATTGATGTTTTTATCCTATGTAGAGACTAACATAATTTTCTATTTAAAAAATTGCTAAAAGGGATTTCATAAAAGCCATGAACTTGGGTTTGTTTTCCCTTTATCTTTTAATGACTAGTAATATAGCACCTTAGCAGACAGCTCATCTCACCTTCCTGCAGGGCTAGAGCCACTGTCTTCACTTTCCCATTGGTCATTTTTGCTTCTTGGAATTGGAGGCTGTAGCATTTCAGCGGCTAGGGGATCCGCATCATTTTCTTCTCTACCAATCCATTCTCCAATCACACGGGGCCTCAGAAGGGAAGAATTAAATGCCACTGTTTCCTGAAGACAAGAAAAGAATATGCTGTTTTAGATGGCTTTTTCTTATTAACAGGACAACAGGGAAATAATGTTGCCTAGGGATTTGACTGTCAAATGCTCCTTTTTGTCTTTCTGAATTGATACAAAACTTCGGTTTTCTCCAGCTCTATTAGATGGCTTGTTCTATGTGATTTATGCTAATTCCTAAGGTCACTGTGATAAAGGATCCAGAAGTGAAATCTTTGCTTTGAATTTGGAAGGCTGCATATGTGCTCTCAGGAAAGAGACATGGGATGAGCATTCCAGGCAGAAGGAAGAGATGTGTTGTAAACAGGGCAGCCCACATAGGGAGAGAGTTTGGTGTCACTGCTGGAAAATAGTAAGTAACTGCCCAAGTGGGACAGGAAGAGGTAGGGCTTGAAGGGTATATTGCCTCCAATTGCAAAGCATTTTAGATATTTCGGGATCCAGTAGAAATTCAAAACAGGGCCATATCAATGGCAGATATGTTATTCTAATTCAACAAATGTTAGTAATCTGTTTTCATAGACTTGAATATGATGCAGCTATTAAAATGCTATTGTAGGAAAATACTGAATACATGTAATTGCTAGGGATTTTTTGTTATGTGAAGAAAAGGGCAAGTTAAAAAGCAATATTTATAATCTAATTTTTGTTTAAAAAAAGTCATGAGTATATATCCATCTCTTGTTCGCTAACTCATTCATTTATTTATTCTCTAATATTTATTAAGACTTGTTATGGGCAAAGAACTTCTTGATACGCTGAAGAAAACAATGGTGAATAAGATCAAAATTTAATGGTGCCTGTATCTAAATGAAGTAACTACAGGTAATTTTACTTTCTTTTTTTAGCATTGCAACATCTTTTCTATATTCTACAGTAAATATGTACTTGTCTTATAATGAGAAAAATATATTTTTTAAAGCCTCTTCAACTAAAAAATATAGGCCTTGTTTAAATACGTTTAGTGATAAATTTTAGCATTACAATAGTCTTGAAAAATTCTTTACAAATTTAGATGCTGTTCTGAGTCTTTGGATCTCACAACATATTCTACATTGCAGTACAGAATATAACATAATATAATCTTACAATATATACAATATAATATATAACCTACATACAAATATGATACCAAAAGCAACACATGAAATATGATTTAGGACATATTTGATGAGCATTTCTCCAAGTGATAGCAAGTGGTAGAAAGGAACTATCTTAATATTGATCCAGCCTACATGAAAACATAGCAGATACATTTTAGAACCAGTGTTTGTAAAACTTAACAACGAATCTGAACTCCTTCTATACTTACACTCCCTACATCAGAAAATCAAAGCACTACAATAGGTTTCAGCTGTAAAATAATGCAATCAAATGAATGCTTTCAAATAATCAAAAGGGCATATGCATCTGCCACAATTTAATTTTATTTGAAATACAGGAATTAAAATTAACAATACTGTTCAATTTTAAATCTATATTTACTTTTAAAAGCAGATGATTATGAAGACATATTTTTTAATTTCAAAACCGATAAACATATTTACAACTTATGAATGCTTTTCCATTTGTAAGACTTTATAATGTCACTTATTCTCTGAATTTCATTTTCTCCAACTGTAAAATGGGGATAATAATTATAAGGCCTATTGTATCAAACGAATTAGTAAACAACATCATTAAACGGTAAAATTCTTTTTTCTCCCCAAGGTGAAAGACCAGTTGTTTTATTTTTAAAACAATTGTTTTGCTTTAATTTTCAATCTCTCAAGTACCAATATTTTCATAAAATACCATAAAAACCAATAATCATAAACAACAATCTTTACAAAACAAAGGCATATAAAATATAAGTCAAGGGTTTTAAATTTGTTTTCATTCAACAAATATTATTGAATTGCTATAAAATTTACTAAATACTCTCAATTTCTATATTTATTTTATTGGAAAATAACAAAAACAATTTAAGTGGCTCTGCTCTGTAGACTTTTAAAATAGAATTGCTGTCTGTCACTGTGTATTAAATGTTGTGTGTGGATGTATTCTCAGAGAGCTATGAGGTCTCTGAGAAAAAAACAACTATTATATACACATATGTATACAAAATTTATGTTCTTTTGATAACTTTTAAAAAGTAATACAGGTGTGTTCTGCATCTCCTGACTGACCAGAAAGTACAGTTGCATGATGTAAGTGCCCAAGTTTGTCTTTATGTTTACAATTAAGTCGACGATGAGTACTATTACTTTAAATGTCAAGGTCTCATACATAAAGGCAAAAGGAAGCTAAAGAATCTGATACTTGAAACAGCTACTTCTATTAAATGAGAAAGCTAAGCCTTAGATCTGCATCTTTTAATTCTTACTTTAATATGCTTGATCATGGTTTTACAATGAATGCATACCAGAAATGACTTACACAAATTTTTCATTTTGAAGAACATTTTATCATTGTACAATGTATGAGACAAGAATAAAACCAGACCCTTGATTGCCACTATTCTTTCAATCACAATTTATGTAACATATTCCCCTGTGTCTACCACTTTTTTGCATATTTACAAATTTTAATGCTAAATCAAGAGCCAACAATAAAATCTTCATAAAATCTACTTTGGACCATGAGTTTGGAGAGTTGGCATCTTTTTCTGGCTTGATCTACTAGAGGCTGTCTGCTATTTAGGGCCTTAAAGGGAGGGTTAGAGGGAATACATTAAATGCATTCAGAGTATAATCCATATTTTAAAGCTTTTTCATTACTATTCTGTTTATTTTGAAAGAAGAGATACAAACATGTAAAGTACAGAATTAGATCACATATATGTGTGTGTGTGTGTGTGTGTGTGTGTGTGTGTGTGTGTGTGTGTGTATGTATATGTATACACCTATATGGGCCAACATGTGTTTTTTGTAATTAAATATACTAATTCAGAGAAGAGGAAGCTCGAGCTCAACATGGACCAGATTCAACAGTGGTAGTCTCACCAAGAGACATGACCAACTTCAGTATTAATTGTGTCTTCTCCCCTTTTTAAATTTTGGATTCAGGAGGTACATGTGTAGGATTGTTTCATGGGTATATTGCATGATGCTGAGGTTTGGGATACAGATAAATCATAAATTCTGTGTATAAGCCAGATGCAATTATTTAAGAGTGTAGACTGTATTCAGATCATTTTGATGTATCACTGTTGGAATGGACAAATTGAGTAAGAATAGATACCTGGTAGTCAATAAGGGCAGAGTAACCGAACAGGGAATTGACAGTGCAGGCTTTCATTCTATAAAGTTTCATTTTATAGATATTATATTTAAAAGGTTGATGGCCGGGCACAGTGGCTCACGCCTGAAATCCCAGCACTTTGGGAGGCCGAGGTGGGCGGATCACAAGGTCAACAGATCGAGACCATCCTGGCCAACATGGTGAAACCCCATTTCTACTAAAAAATACAAAAATTAGCTGGGTGTGGTGGCGTGCGCCTGTAGTCCCAGCTACTTGGGAGGCAGAGGCAGGAGAATTGCTTGAATCCGGGAGGCAGAGGTTGCAGCGAGCCTAGATTGCGCCACTGCATTCCAGCCTGGCACCTGGCAACAGAGCGAGACGCTGTCTCAAAAAAAAAAGGTTTGGAGGTTACTTGTCTCGCTATAGGTTCAAAGTAGATGGGACTTGAAACAAATAGACAAACAAAGAAAATGACCGCTGGAACAACAGAAACAGATGAGCTTATGCACTGTAAGCCAAAGAGTGAAAAAGGTTTTAGAGTTGGGTATGATCAGAAAGTTGAGAACAGCAGAGAATCAGAACTAACTCTTTGGTCGCTTACTAGGAAATCAAATGCAATGGTAGATGTATCGCTATTGAAAAGTAGAGCACACAGAGAGGATAAGTGGTGTGATATTCAGGATGTTTAATGACAGCTGGCATAGAAATCTAGTGAGAAATAGCTGACAAGCAAAGCAATATTAAGAGCTGCAAACAGGGTCAGAGGAGTTAGGAAGTGAATAATATTTTACACTTGAAAAATGGGGCTCCACTATTTTTATTTTTCTAAATGAACAAAGCTCTTTATATTGCTCCCATTCTAGTGCTGATGAAAAAATTGAAGCAAAGAGCATTTTCTCCTTCTAAAAATGTATGTAACCCTAAAAATTTTTGAGTAAGTCTTATTACATATAGATCAAAGTAGCAGAGTTTTCATTATATTATTTATATTTGATTAAGCTAAGTAAACATCCTTCCATACATCTTTCTGAAAGGATTTTAGTGAAGACAGCAGTTCTAAACACTGCATATAACACATCACAGACAGCAATCCATGGCAAAATATAAAAATGTAAATAAATAAAAATGATTTTGAAAATATTTTAAATACATGGGTAAAAAAATCATTTAAAATTTCAGAGATAAACTTTTAAAATTCTAATTATTCTTTAGTAATATAAAAATACATGTTCCTTTGCCCTTTCAAGTATAGAGGTCCCTAGGTTTTGAGGTTCTTAAGCAAGTAAGCATAACTTTAATAATAAAAGCAGGTCGGGCATGGTGGCTCACACCTGTAATCCCAGCACTTTGCGAGGTCCAGGCAAGCAGATTACTTAAGACCAGGAGTTCGAGACTAGCCTGACTAACATGGTGAAAACCCATCTCTACTAAAAATACAAAACCTAGCTGGTGGTACTCGCCTGTAATCTCAGCTACAAGAGGCTGAGGCAGGAGAATCACTTGAACCTGGAAGGCAGAAGTTACAACGAGCCAAGATTGTGCCACTGTACTCCAGCCTGGCCAAGAGAGCAAGACTCCATCTCAAACAATTAAAAAAAAAAGAAAAGAAAAAAAGAAAAGCATTCCCAGTCAAAAAGTCTCCCAAAGCTTACAAATGTCTGTAGTATGACTTATCAGCAAGAAGTTCGCCTATCCAGGAAGTAGTTACCTTGTCCTACAACCTCGCTCCAAGAAGCCCGTTTTCAGTGGCTAATCTAAGAGTTCAACTCCTG